TTTCTCTGCTTTAAATGCCTCTCCATCCCTCATTATAACATGCATTCCTCTTTACTGATGTGTACTAGGGCCTGAATGATATGAAAATATGATACTGAATTTAAGGGACTACTTCTGATATCCCATAATTTTAGATTTATAAGTTAGTTAGTTTTATTTTATTTTATACCATTTTATACTTTTATACAATAGTTTTATCTAAACTGTGCTTTACTAGTTTTTCAGTTCTTAACTGTCACAACTTAAAGTTTGGTGCCTGTGTATCACCACTTAATTTTCTAGTTTTTTATTAGTTCTGTTAATGGTTCTTGTTTTTCATTAGTTCTGTTAATAGCTCTGTCATATAGTTGGTACAACTGTCTAATTTGCCTTATTGTTACAAGTCTGAATCCTATCAATGCCACAGCTAGTTGCGTAAAAGCTGTGCATTAATGCAGATATTTTCGCCGATAACAACAAAACCGTCGGATGTCAAAATATATCAGCCATCTGGTATATCGGCCAGGCCGTAATATATTTTTTAATCTATTCTTGTTCCTCTTTATGTTTATCCATGACTGACCAGATGAATGTTATCGATGCTACTCTATTACATAACCCTGAACCTACATCCTTTCAGTCACCAAGCCCATGTTCTTTTTCACCTCCATGCCTCTGAATCACCCGTACAGTGGTCTCATTCACATTCCATTAGAGACGCTATTTATCCACTGAAAGCTGTTCAGAGCTTGTCAGTCCTTTTTATTCTCCTATAGCTTCAGCAGACTGCTCAGCAACTCCTTTGGCTGTGGGGAGAACAGTTTTCCTCATCACTGGCTACGCTTCCTAAAGGATGGAGGTTTTAATACCCTCCCTCCCCTCAGGGGTCCGAGCATAAAAAGACCGAATCGCAGGGGCTTGGCAAAACAGGCGCCTCTCAAGACACCCTGGGGTCCTGCAGGGCATCTTTCGCGCTGTTGCATCATGTCTGGCTAAAAGCGAAGGTTTGATTGAAAACTCTGAGCTGTAGAGATGCAGACAGGGAAGAGGGGTTTGAAAGCTGGGTGAAGGCAGCTCCTGAATCTCTGTCTTCTCTTCCCCTTCCCTTCTCTCTCTTTCTGTCTCTCCCTTGTCTCTGTCAAACTCCCCCTCTGCTTCACTTGCAATCTATTTTGAGACCACCGAGTCCTTCATAACTTCTCGTTCTTTTCTCATGAGATTTCTCAATCTCTTTATTCCCTACGATCTCTGTGGTGCAATACTCTTGCTGAGTGGCTTGGAGCACTCTTGGCAATCTTTTGATTCAGTCCCCTCCCTCTCTCACTCTCTCTCTCTCTCTCTCTCTCTCTCTCTCTCTCTCACTCTCTCTCTCTCTCTTTATCTATCTATCTGTCTGTTTTACGTAACTCTCGACATATGTATCACTGCCTGTTTATCTGTCCACTTCTCTCCCTCTTTGTCTCTGCCAGGAGGTTCCTGTAGTTGTCCTCTAATATTGATTCATTTGGTGGTGGTGAATCATTTATTTCAATAATGATTTTCATTAAGAGCCGACCATACCCAAAATCTGTGAATGGTTTCCTAATGAGACTTTTCCTTGTTCTATTTTTATGCAGACTTTATGTAATCCATCAGCTGCGTTTATGTGATCAACCTCCATCTAGCCATCCAATGCAAGCGATGTACTAGCGTATCCGCCCGCTCTTTCTCCATTTCATTCTTTCCTTCTCCTCTTTCTCCCTCCCTCTTGATCTCCCACTCAACCGGATCCCTTGCACCGCTGCCAGCCTTGGCTCAGACAGCTCCCCTACTGCATTATACCGCCTTTTGGCCGATAAAACAGCAGGCGCAGAGAGAGCTTCAGGATCGATGGGCACGGTTCTTTCTCTGACCCCTTGCCGACTGGCCACCGGCCATACGGCCGTTCAGCCAACCTGTGAGCAGACAGGCCTGTGCTGCCACCATTCCTGACTCTCCTGGGGTTCCAGACCTGCCATGTGCATGGAATGAGGCTTCAGCCAGGTGTACATGTGTGTGGCATCACCTCATTCCCTTGAAAACTGGCATGAGGAGTGGACGTGCTCCAGTTTCCACCAGGCCACCCACTTTATGTGCAGAAAAATGAGAGGGCAAAGGCAAGCAAGCCCTCCTTGATGCTGTAGTGCAGCCAAAAACGACTGAATCATATTTCGGTGTGTGGATTTTTGGAGTGTCTTTCTTTTAAAGAAAGACTGGAGTTATGCTAATAGTTACTGCCACAGACATCATCACTGAGATCTCAGTGCAACTAGTACATCGGTGTCGATTTTGGCTTTCCTTTTAGATGCCTTTGGTTGCACTGACACTCATTTGCTCAGTGTGCACACTTAAAACCACCATCCTTGAAGGTACCTTTGAACTCTTGCTCACTTATGAAGCAAATGCTAATCAGCCAGATGTGTTGACATGTTACGGCTAAAGACTTACAAGTGCATCTCGCATCTGTCCCGAAATGTTGCCTCCTGGTTTTGCCATCTTGAAGTCGAGCGCTCTCTCTTGCCGCCTGAGAACTTAAAGTGCAAAGCTGCCAGGATGTATTTCAGCCTTCCTTACAGTGTCCTCATTTACATTCCCCACACACGTCTCCATATTCTCTTCTGCTAGCTGTTTACCCAATTGCCTTCCCTAAAAAACTTGAGTTGCTAAAATAGCTGAGTTCAGCTTGGGGGTATGTAGGCCAACTTTATGTTCATTTGCTTTAAACATCAAAACTATGTCCTCTCCAGACTTTGTTTCATCATCAAGCTGAGTTGTTGAATAGGACGAAGCTTGTATCAAAGTAAGCCTGAAGGGGGACGAGATGCAAAGGTTTAAGGAAGGTTTTTTAAGGTGCTATGTAACAATGTGGGCTAAAGCAGAGACTTTCAGCAGGTCCGTCTTTCTGATCGGTTCTGGCTTCCGTTTGCACTCAAGGCAACTTTCTATAGAAGTGGTTCTCAATCACAGTTCTCAGTCTAGGGTGAGGAAACCTTGTGCTTCACAAGTGTGGTACATGCTTAAAATATGGTTGGTGTGTGGCAAGTTAAATAAAACAAGGCTCTTCAGGGCACTACATGATGAGAATAGTAGCAGCTGTATTAAGAGACATTTCACTTTTCTTTCTATGTACAAGTGTGATGCACATAATAAGGTTGTCTAAAAGTAGTTGTTCATGTTGCCTGGGCATGTAGCATAATTTTTTTAAACTGTCCTTATAAAACAAATAGTTCCAATCCTAAATCTTTTTTGGCTGAGCCATATTCAAATCCTAACAGGCTAAACAACTCCACCATTAATATTTTTTGTTAGGTTTTGAGTTGAAGTGTTTGCTGATTGATTCACTGTAAAACTGCAATATAAAAAGTAAAAATATGCTATTTGAATGTGGTCATGCTTCAAATGTCTGTTTTTAGTTACATCTGCCTTTGTTAGTATTAAACACAGTGTGGCTAAATAAATGTGTTAGCTTATTGCTAATATAACATTAGCATTATGGTTGTGGTGGAAATTTGTTGTGTAAAAACGATTTATGAAGCGATTACAGGTGAATAATTATCAGTCAAGCATCAGTCAATCAGTGAGACTCCTGTAAAGTCTGTAAGCAACTGAAGATTATTTAAAGGTATCCAAACCATGAAGGCAGGTTGGCCTGATGTTACTGAACCATAGCTTAAGAGAATAACCTCCTTCATCTTCCCACCTTTATGGTAAACATCCTGTATGCACCAACATTCTTGAAGCTAAATCTACTGAAGATCCAAATCTGTTGCTCTAACTTCTCAGACTAGGAAAATTTAGTACCACGATTTGCAGATGCACTACAACAGTCAAAGGTATTCATCTATTTGACCTTAAATTTAACATATTAAGGACTTTACACTCAACAAAATGGTTTCTTGTCAAGTGAAATCTTAAATCTGGTCAAAAAGTGTAATAGATTTTATGTGGAGATTGTTGTAACATTTCTAGACATTTTTATTCATTAATTTATCATTGTTTTAGGTGATTTTAGGCAAATTATCTTATTATATTGGCAGACTGAAACAAAGTTGAAACAAGCCAACTTGCTACTGTACAGAGATCACTTTACACAATAATGTCCAGAAATAAGTTTAATAATCTCCTAATGAAGTTAAGAAAGAAATATTAAATATGTAGGCAAGATGTAAGATAATTGCACTTGCCAAGGTACCATTTTTTGCAGTGTAATTAGATGATGAGATGAATCAATATTGTGGTCCATGATTCTGAAGTACTGCTACTGAAAAGCGCTTTTCTATGCCACACAATTACGTGGCTGAGCTGTTTTTCGGACTGTGGAGACCCTCCAGTTGGGAATGTTTGGACTGAACTGAATCTTTAATGGGGATTTATTCCTTAAAATCTCTTATAAGTTTAGAACAAGGCATAATCAATGTCTGAAAAATAGGGCTGCTTCGGTCAGTATTGAGATCGTGATTATTTAATACAGTTACTCACTGACTTTGGAAATATCATGCATTTGTTAAATAAAAAAAAAACTTGTCTTTTAACACTGGATTTCCTTGAACTTTAAATAGAATTCCACTGAAAAACAAAAAAGAAAAAAATAAAATAAATAAATTTATATGCCAAAATAAGTAGGATGAGTTTGGGCTTTAAGGGAGGGGAGAAGAAATAAGCAGTGTGACAATATAAGAAGGCAGCATTTAATAAAGAATCTGCTACTGCCCCTGAATTTCCTTGATTGAAGATAGTTAATATATATATTGGTGGTACTTATATGAAATCTAATATCATCGCTGTCCATTTTTATGCATCATTTGAGCACAGCAGCTGCTCTTGTGTGAACATTTCATGATGAATGGACCACTAGAAATGCTCTAAAATTGTTTGGAATAAAATCTATTTACATTAACATATGTTAAATGTAAAGAATTCAGTGGACAGAAACAATATCACAACTTTTGTTATTTGTAAACCAACACTGTTATTTTTCCAACACTGTTTCTCTTTTTTTGCAGTGCAACAATGACTTTGTCCCAGTCTGTGGATCCAATAATGAAAACTACGAGAACGAGTGTCTTCTTCGGAGGGATGCTTGTAAACAGCAGACTGAGATCTTGGTGGTCTCTGAGGGATCCTGTCCTGTTGGTAAGTTTCTTTTGTGTGCGTGTGTTTACTCTGTGTGAGAGTTTGTTTTACTGTAACTCTATTTCCCTTTAATGTCATGCTGGTGGTGTCATGTGTGATCTCTGTTGTGAGTAATTAAGTGTGTTAGAGCTATAGATTTATAAAGAGACCTATTTCCAATGGCGTCACTTTACACACAGTGAAGTGAAGCCACTTGGCTGCCACATTGGTACTCCCTTCCTGCACTGCAAAAAATTATATCTTGTCAAGTGAATTTGTGTTATATCTAGTTGACATCTTGAATATTTCTCATTACGCGATTGTTGTAACCTTATTAGGAGGTTATGTAACTTATTTCTAGACATTTATTACATGTTTTAGGTGATTTTAATAATTAAAATTGTCTCACTATATCAGCAGGTAATTTTTTAAAGAAACTTTGTAAGAAATTTGTAAGAAACAAGCCAACTTATCTGAGATAATAACTTATTAAAATCACTTAATGAAAAATGAGAAATACGTTAAATAATCTTCTTGTAAGGTTATAATAATCTCAAAATCAGAAATATTAGATATATCAACTGAATTTAATATACTTTCACTTGACAGTATATTATTTTTGCAGTGTGTGCTACTTGTCTATAGTCAAAATGTAAACATATTGCCAAAAAATGGAGATAAAACATAACTGCTGAAGTGTGCTGCAGCAATACCCCATTAATGGGCTGTGGCAAAACACTTCATGTGTAATTTCGGTGTAAAGGTCTTATGGCTAATAAAACCTAATCTAGACTGTTCAGCTTTTGCATTTTTGAGTTTCCCCAGGTGGTACAGATGTTTGGGTGTTATAGCGCTGTCTGTAAACAACTGACACTGTCCATACAAGCAAAGCACCTTGGCTCCTTCCAGGAGCTTAATGGGATGAAGATCCAAGACTTTTGCTGTAACTTCCCTGATTATGTAGTAGAACATATGGTACCACAGCACCTGAGAAATTTGGCTGCTAGTCATTTAGGTTCCCTGCAATTTGCTCACAAGTCTAATTTGGAAGTAGAAGATGCGTTGCTGTATGTGCTCCATAATGTTTATGAACTCCTGGAAAGGTCTAATGGATATATGAGATTTTTTTCTGTGTGCTTTTAAGTGGCCTAAAAAAGTACTAGAGGGTGAATATTCTACTTCTGCTATTAAAACTGATAGTAGAGTATGTACAAAAACGGTACAGTGCCGTTATAAGTAACTAACTGGTTAGCAATGCAATATTTGTTTTAGCTCTGTACTGAGGTAAAAGTGCAGAATGTCAGCTTTAATTTTCAGGGTCTATATACTTACTTGCAAATTCTTTGCAATTGATGACTGTCTGAAATCTGCAGCAGATAGATGTCACCAGACGTCAGCTTCTCTACTGCTGCTCTGCCAGGACTCTAATGCAACCCTTTTCAGTTCCTGCTTGTTTCAGGGGCTTTAGTCTTGACTTCAGTAAGTGAAATGCTGTTCGGTGAGGTTCAGGTCAGGTCACTGGCTGTGGTCTTGGAAATAAATCCATAAATGCTTCAGCAGTAGCTATCAGGTCATTGTGATGCTGCAAGGTGGGGCACCACTAAGATATCTTGCTCGTTCTGCCAGCAGTGATTTTGAGAGACAACAGATGTGACAAATGTAAACGCATCAACTAGAGTCAACTGTACACTCAAGATGGTTCTTCAAGGGTTCTTTAGTAAAGGGAATGATCTTATTTAGAATAATGAATTCTATTAATAACAATTTCATGCTTATAGGGTTCATTGCATGGTGAAGTGGTTCTTCAGACTGGATATTGTGTAGTCTATGGTTCTGTATAGCACCAAATAGGGTTCTGCTATTGTTACGAAGTCAAGCTTCTATATAGAACCATATACAAAACATTTTCAATCAGTCTATAGAACCAATTCACCATGCAGAGAACCAGAATCAGAATTAGAATCAAGCTTTATTGGCCAGGTATTCTTACACATACAAGGAATTTGGTTTTGGTTACAGGAGCTCACAGTGCACAGTATCAGACAAACATTTACACGTAGTAAATAAACTCACTCATACACAAACACATACACACACAGTCACACCTGTAAACCTTACATTGCACAAAGTGTGTGTCTTAAGTTAAAGTGCTGAGTGCAGCAGTTAAAGGGTGTATGGTGGCAAAGAAAGGGATCAGTGAGGTAACTGTCAGATAAGTGAGGTAATAAGGCAGGTACACTATATTGCCAAAAGTATTCGCTCGTCTGCCTGCACACACATATGAACTTGAGTGACATCCCATTCTTAATCCATAGGGTTTAATATGATGTCGACCCACCCTTTGCAGCTATAACAGCTTCAACTCTACTGGGAAGGCTTTCCACAAGGTTTAGGAGTGTGTTTATGGGAATTTTTGACCATTCTTCCAGAAGTGCATTTGTGAGGTCAGACACTGATGTTGGACGAGAAGGCCTGGCTCGCAGTCTCCGCTCTAATTCATCCCAAAGGTGTTCTGTCGGGTTGAGGTCAGGACTCTGTGCAGGCCAGTCAAGTTCTTCCACACCAGACTCGCTCATCCATGTCTTTATGGACCTTGCTTTATGCACTGGTGCGCAGTCATGTTGGAACAGGAAGGGGCCATCCCCCAAACTGTTCCCACAAAGTTGGGAGCATGAAATTGTCCAAAAGCTCTTGGTATGCTGAAGCATTAAGAGTTCCTTTCACTGGAACTAAAGGGCCGAGCCCAACTCCTGAAAAATAACCCCACACCATAATCCCCCCTCCACCAAACTTTACACTTGACACAATGCAGTCAGACAAGTACTGTTCTCCTGGCAACCGCCAAACCCAGACTCGTCCATGGGATTGCCAGATGGAGAAGCGTGATTCGTCACTCCAGAGAACACGTCCCCATGCTCTAGAGTCCAATGGCGGCGTGCTTTACACCTCTGCATCTGACGCTTTTCGGCCATGGAAACCCATTCCATGAAGCTCTCTATGCACTGTTTTTGAGCTAATCTGAAGGCCACATGAAGTTTGGAGGTCTGTAGCGATTGACTCTGCAGAAAGTTGGCAACCTCTGCACACTATGCGCCTTAGCATCCACTGTCCCCGCTCTGTCTTTTTTTGTGGCCTACCACTTCGTGGCTGAGTTGCTGTCATTCCCAATCACTTCCACTTTGTTATAATACCACTGACAGTTGACTGTGGAATATTTAGTAGTGAGGAAATTTCACGACTGGACTTGCACAAGTGGCATCCTATCACGATACCACGCTGGAATTCACAGAGCTCCTGAGAGCGACCCATTCTTTCACAAATGTTTGTAGAAGCAGTCTGCATGTCTAGGTGCTTGGTTTTATACACCTGTAGCCATGGAAGTGATTGGAACACCTGAATTCAATGATTTGGTTGGGTGATTGAATACTTTTGGCAATATAGTGTAAGTAAGATCCTGGAAGAAGCACTGGTCTGAGACGGTAGTTTCAGAGGATGGAATGTTGAGAGTGATAGTATATGCCAGTATATTTAGAAGTGCAGTTTAGAAGCTGGAATATTGTTTATGTGTAATATTTTAACTGTTCAAGAGAGTGATCGCTTGTAGGAAGAAGCTTCTCTGTAGCACCATTTAAGCATGATTGTTTTATATATAAAACTCATTCCCTTTTATTTAAGAACACTTGAAGAACCACCTTTTTTTAATAGTGTATCTGAGGAGACAGTTGTTGCAATTAACTTTGGTCCCCTAAAATAAGAAGGATAAGTATAAAGGGCTGTAATTGGATTAGCCAAAAATGGACATACATATCCTCCAATTAAAGGTGACATTCTGCACTTTAATCCTTTGTGCTGGAGTACAGAGCCAAAATAACCCAAATCATGTCACTATCCAATTACTTTCAGACTGTGCTGTATATTACGTTCACCGCATGCCTAATCTTGTAATTAGGAAGCTAAGTTGTTTGCAAATGGTTTTGTGTTTCTGAGGGAAACGATAATGCGGATCAATACCATTTTACTTTTTTTTAGTGTTATACATTCTCATAGCTCTTTATTAATGGCAAAACATTAGCAACTATTTAGAAAAAGACAAAAGCACAACACACACTAACACATCACCACCACGTCAGTGTCACTGTGGTCCTGTGGGGGTCCTGACCATTGAAAAACAGGGTAAAAGAGGGCTAACAAAGTATGGAGAGAAACAGATTGACTACAATCTATAATTGTAGAACTACGAAGTGCACCAATATGGTAAGTGGAGCTGATAAAAAAAGAGTGCAGATACAAGGAGGTGTACTTAATGAAGTGGCCAGGCGCTGTACATATTATAGTTATTATATCACAGTCTTTATACGTTTTAATAGATTGTTATAAGTTACAGTTATAAGTGTGTGTATATTAGGCATTTTACAGTGGCTTCAAACATGGCACAGCCAATCAAATTTCAGAACCAATACCATCCAGTTTATAATTGATATTGTGATGCCACCTCCTTGATTTTAGGCTTGCCATTTTAAGTGCTGCCTAATAGTGTTTGGTTATTGGTCAAGAATTTGCATCCATAGTTGGGACACACAAAAAAGAGCCAGTTGTGCCACCTACAATCAAAAACTATGAAAATAATGATTTTTATTCAATGTTTAAATAGGACTAATGATGCTCTCTGTGTAATGCAACATGCATTTGGTCATATTTGGTTGATATTTTCAGGAGATGTGATAGTTTGACAATTAATCACATTAAATATAAATATTGCCATATTGCCCAGCCATATTTCAAAGCATATTTCAGTTACAGCAGTAGTTGCAACGTGGTATTGTATTTTGTCCATATCTTGCAGCTCTAATGTACAAGAAAAAGGATTGGTAATAAAGTATGAAAAGATGTGAGGCCAGCACTCATTTTTGCCTGAACAGCTGACAGCCATCTTACCCAAATTGAAATGAAAGCACGGACATCAGATGATTTATTAAAAAGCTTCACTAATTGTCTTCCTGTGGAGAAGCAAAGGCCAGCTG